TGTGCCTGTATTTTTTATACAGTTAGCATACAAGTAAATAGTTTACTTTTCTTGTTTGCGTGTCCAGTTGCTTCTCTGACTCAGCATCTTGGAGCAAAGAGAGGAGCAGAGGGCGACAGAGCAAACACTGCACATACAGTAGAAATTTCCCCACTTGATTTTCCATGGTTGGCATGGTGTAGATTGTTGTTTAAGTTTACACAACATACAGGTTCCCCTGAATGAATTTCTAAGTCATGGTTAAACTGACAATTTTTATTTACTTTTGGTGAATGATGCCTGGGTCCATTGAGGAGTTTTCTCCATGCTGTGTTGTTTAAACACACAGAACAGGGGCGGGGAATGTGTGAGCTCCATGTGGCTCTAATCCCTTTCTAGTGGCACTCTCAGATATCCGTTCCCTTCGTCATTGCACTATTTCATAGTTTCTTATTGCACTGATGAAAAGTTACTGACCAAAAGCTTGGTACCATAGCCACATTTTAAGTTTCCCCCCCTGAAGATCAGGAGGGAGGGAGCTGATCTAATTTCACTGTGGAGGGGGTTCCATAGATGAGGGACCACCACTGAGAAGGCCCTATCTCTTGTTCCTACCAACTGCACCTGCAAAGGAGGTGGGACCAAGAGCAAGGCTTCTATGATCCTCTGATGTGGATTATAGAGGGAGATACGTTCAAACAGGTAAGCTGGGACAGACCTATTAGGGCTTTATAGGCTAAAGCCAGCACTTTGAATTGTGTTTGGTGGCAGACTAGCAGCCAGTAGAGCTGATGTAACAAGGAGGTTGTTGTATGTTCCCTGTATGCCATTCCGGTGAGCAGTCTGGCTGCCATCCATTGGACCACTCGAAGCTTCCAAACAGTCTTCAAAGGCAACCCCATGTATTTATTTATTTTATTTATTTACCGTATTTATATATCGCCTTTCTCAGCCCAAAGGTGACTCAGAGTGTGTTGCAGTAGTCTATGCGAGATGTAACAAGGGCATGGACCACCATGGCCAAGTCTGGGTTCTCACGGTGTAGATGCAACTAGCACACAAGTTTTACTTGTCCAAAAGCTCCCCTGGCCACTGTCGAAACCTGGGGTTACAGGTTCAGTGATGCATCTAGGAGAACTCCCAAGCTGCCAGCCTGTATCTTCAGGGCGAGTGTAATCCCACCCGGCACAGGCTGTAACCCTATACCCTGTTCAGCCTTTCAACTCACCAGGAGTACCTCTGTCTTGTCTGGATTCAATTTCAATTGTTTGCCCTCATTCAGATCGCCACAGCTGCCAAGCACCGGTTCAGGACCTGAACAGCCTCCTTAGTAGCAGGTGGAAAGGAGTGATAGAGTTGAATGTCGTCTGCGTACAGATGACATCGTACTCCAAAACTCTGGATGATCTCTCCCAACAGCTTCATGTAGATGTTAAACAACATAGGGGACAATACTGATAGCAACCTTTAGTTGAGTTTTCTTGGCAAGATTGCTTCAAATGAGTTTTTCCGTTGTCTTCCTCTAAGACCACAAGCTTGTGATCTGCCCAGTGTCACCAACATGACTAAGAATAGATTTGAACCGTGGCTTCCCAGGGTCCTAGTCTAACATTCAGATCACTATATCATGCTGGCTCTTCCTAAGAGAGAGAAAAAGATGTATATATTGAAAAATGACTATTTGTACTTTTCACTATTTAGAACTTTAAATTGATTTATTGTTGAAGGCTTTCATGGCCGAAATCACTGGGTTGTTGTAGGTTTTTTCGGGCTGTATGGCCATGGTCTAGAGGCATTCTCTCCTGACGTTTCGCCTGCATCTATGGCAAGCATCCTCAGAGGTAGTGACCTCACTACCTCTGAGGATGCTTGCTATAGATGCAGGTGAAATGTCCGGAGAGAATGCCTCTAGACCATGGCCATACAGCCCGAAAAAAACCTACAACAACCCACTTAAATTGATTGTGTATTATTGAAGCCAACTTCATGACTCTTACATCTTTGACTGAGGAGGATACTTACTACAAGAAAGACAGACATGTTCAGCTGCTTGGGATCCAGCTATATTCTGGATCATTATTCACTGTTTCTGGCACTATTTTTTCTTACCACAGGTTTGCTGACAACTGGAAAGTTCTGCTTTCTATCATCAGTTTTTCTAATAACTTTCACATTATTAAATTCTGTCCATTTCAGTTTGGTCTCTGATACCATCACATCTCAGAGACAGTGCCAATGTATCTTCAGCCAGTAAAATATGTTCACTTTTATCATTGTGAGAAACGGGTAACATGTGGTTCAGGTTCAACAACTCCCCGGTATCAATGTTTTGGTTTCCTGAGCAGCAGGAAATAAGTCTCATAAAAATCCTATTGAAAGGATGGTTGGCAGGCTAAAAGAGCATGAAAAGCACAGTCAATATTTGGCTGGCGGATGGGTGTGTATGTTATTTTCTCGCTTGCTCTACATTCTAGTCTCACCTTGCAGTTGTCCTTGTTTTGAAAACTTGAGGTCAGACAACAAAAACAATTTCATAGTTGCCAGTAGAGGGAGCACAGGTCAAGAGAGCTGAATTCATCATTTTGGCCCCAAATTCCCAGGTGCTTGGGGTATGTTTGTGCTTCAGTGGAGGTAGTTTCAGGGACTGTGGGCCTTCCACACAGCTCTATATCCCCAAATTTCAAGTCAGAAAATCCCACAATATCTGCTTTGAACTGGTTTATCTGAGTCCACACTCAGATAATGTGGGATTTTCTGCCTTGATATTCTGGGATATAGGGCTGTGTGGAAGGGCCCTCCTGTGATGAGGAAAGAAAAATATGTTTTAAACTAGATCCCCTAAGGATCTAGGTATGTTGAAAAGGCCCTTTATATTTGGCTCCAGGACACACTCAGCCCAAACCTATTTGGGTTCCAAAGTCCATAGATACTCAAATCCCATTATATACAATCTAATTTTTAATATAATTCTTTAATGTGTTTTAATATTATTCTTATTTAATGTGCTTTAATTGCATTGTATTTTAATTGTGTAGACTTTTTAATAAGCAGGATCTAGATATCAATTGTTTTGTGTAGCATTTCTGTATTGTTGCACTTTTATATTGTATTTATTTACAGTATTTTTATGCAAACTGACTATGTTCTAAACATTAATAAACTGCTACTACTGCTGTCGTGTAGTAAAATGATGTCTCTTACATTAAAAAGGCAAAACCAATGGTTTTTTTATTTATTTATTTAAGTTTGAACTGTGAATGGTTGAACCAACAGGATTCGAGGAACTGATTGTATTGAATTTTTTCTTTCTTTCTGGAAAAGCTCATTGAGGAGCAGCTTAGGGAGAAGAGAAATGGTGGGAATTGTAGCCCCAAAGGGAACATTTCTAATCAGATCAATTCCATTAGGCCTACTAGGGACTTCGTTAGATGGACGGGGCTGTCCAGATGACGTACCAGAAAATCCCGAATTCACCACAAACCAGGAAAACCCTGTTTGAAGCAAATTAATTAGATAGTGGATTTATTCCGCACATTCTTTGGAAGACGTGGGATAAACCCACTACTTCCGATGTCTGGACTGCAGTCCAGACACCATTCCCAAAGTTTTCTGGACTAAATTAGTACAGAAAACTGTAGGAATACTCAGCCTCCTCCCCCACAGCTCCACAACCCCTTTGAAAAGTAAGGAAAACTTACCTGGCCTCCAGTAGACTGTAGCCGGGGCTCTCCCGGTGCATAGAAATGACGTGCCAAGAAAGCGAGGGGGGAGCACTTTTCTTCCTCCTCCCCCCACTCTTCTGGTGCAGGGGGGAGGAGGAGGAAAAGCGCTCCCCCCTCGCTCTCCTGGCGCATTATTTCTATGCACTGGGAGAGCCCCAGCTACAGTCTACTGGAGGCCAGGTAAGTTTTCCTTACCTTTCAAAGGGGTTTGGGGGCTTTGGGGAAGGGTGGTAGGGCTGTCCAGATGTTCTCGCAGGCAGTTCCGTGGGCACCCACCTCAGAAAGCTTTGTGGGGTGTGTGTAGGCAGGCCCCCAGAAACATCCGCATTTTTTAAATGCAAATGGTTCTGTGATAAAGGCCTGTCTGGAACCGCCCATAGTGACTTCCAAGCATGTTGGGTATCATATACAGCTCACATGATTTGCAATTAGAATTCATTGGCATTGTGTTTGTTTTCAGTCATGCCCTGCAGATCTTTACATTATATTAGAACGTTCTGAATTCTAGTCCACAGACTATGTAAACAAGTATAGCATAAATGTGACACAGTGGGTTAAACCCCTGTGCTGGCAGGACTGAAGACCGACAGGTTGCAGGTTCGAATTCGGGGAGAGGCGGATGAGCTCCCTCTATCAGCTCCAGCTCCTCATGTGGGGACATGAGAGAAGCCTCCCACAAGGATGATAAAAACATCAAATCATCCGGGCGTCCCCTGGGCAACGTCCTTGCAGACGGCCAATTCTCTCACACCAGAATTGACTTGCAGTTTCTCAAGTCACTCCTGACACGACAAAAAAAAGCCCAAAATAAAACCTACCTACTTGATTTACATAACACAGATTCAGTAAACAAAATAAGCATAAATTAGTACCCAAGAGAACACATTCAAAGAAAATAATTCTGGCTTGGTATCTGCAACCTTGTTCCAATGGCTATACAGTATGAATTCTGTTTCTGCAGGACCAGTATCCATGGTTTCATTTATTCATGTGTGATAAAATATGTTCTCTTTAGGAATTGTCTTGGTTCTCTATGGTATTCCTAGGCCTTCATTTCAATATTTTCCACAGATTTATGTACCCGTTCAAAGTCTAGGAATGTAGTGAACGCCACAGATAAAGCGGTTTACTATATTTTTCAATACTCATTTGCTCATTATCTTCCATTAATGTAGAACTGATCAGGACATCAGAAAAGTACAGTACAGCATATCTAATCCCTGTAAAAATTACAGTATACATTCTTTATCAACAGAATTCTAATTATACTTAATTGACATCTTCTTTTTCCCTTCTCAGCAAAATATCCAGCCATCAAATCCCTAATGGGGCCAGATCCCCACTTAAAATGGGTTGTGGCAGGAATGGTCTTCACCCAGATTCTGGCCTGTTACCTGGTGAGAAATTTATCCTGGAAGTGGGTTTTCTTCTGGGCCTATGCTTTCGGAGGCTGCATCAACCACTCCATGACGCTGGCGATCCATGACATCTCTCACAACGTGGCCTTTGGGAACAAGCAAGCCAGGTGGAACAGATGGTTTGCTATCTTTGCCAACTTGCCCGTTGGACTCCCTTACTCTGCTTCCTTCAAGAAATACCACATTGACCACCACCGGTACCTTGGCGGACATTATTTGGATGTGGATATTCCTACTGATTTTGAGGGTTGGTTATTCTGCACGCCGCTTCGGAAACTGGTCTGGATCACTCTCCAGCCGTTGTTTTATGCCTTGAGACCACTCTGTGTGAATCCCAAAGCCATAACTGAGATGGAAATCTTTAACGCCTTGATCCAGTTCGCCTTTGACCTTCTTGTCTTCTACTTATGGGGTCTGAAGCCCATTATTTACATGATAAGTGGAACGTTACTTTGCATGGGTTTGCATCCAATTTCTGGGCACTTCATCGCAGAACACTATATGTATTTGAAAGGATATGAAACATATTCCTACTATGGGCCCCTCAACTGCATTACATTTAATGTTGGCTACCATATGGAGCATCATGATTTCCCCAGCATTCCTGGTTCCAAGCTGCCACTGGTAAGCACCAGCATTCAATCATGTTTATGGGTACCAGCATTGGGTGGACTATGTTGCTTATGAAAGTTATTAGTTGGCATTCTTTGCTTGACAACTATACAAAGCGATGGGGAACACCTTTGCCTTAAGAATCTTCAGAAAGGGGCGCAGAGAGCCCGGGTAATTGTGGTTGCATAATTTATGAATTGCCTGTGCAGCATCATCAGCTTTTGCAATACTTAATTTTAGATGTTGGGTCCATGCCCCTGATGCCACAAAATGAAGACCTAAATATTTAAATGTCCTCATTTGCTCCACTTTGTGCCCGTCAAGGTGCCAGTTGGAAGCCTTAGCTTTCTTACCAAAAACCATTATTTTGGATTTTTCTTTACTTATAGCATTTTCAGTACAATATTGGCTAAGTTTTTGCAGGGACCTCCTTAACCCGACTGGGGTGGTGGATAACAATACTATGTCATCTGCGTATATCAAGGCAGTTTACAACATATTAATGGCAAGAATTCAATGCCAACATACATATAATAAAATCAAATCACAATAACTAAACACTGACATATAACTATAATTTAAAATCATTAAAAGAATTAAACACTGGCATATACAACATGTAAGCGCTAAGACAAAGCATTAAAAACAGCCTAATATAAATATTAAAATCACATGATCCAAAAATTGTCCACCGTGGCCATTCCGATTGCCATAGCATGTATTTCCTGACTATTGTTTGCATTGCATTACTGGCCAAAAGCCTGGTCCCACAACCACCTCTTTGTTTCTTTCTGAAGGCCAGGAGGAAGGACGCTGATGTCAAGTTGACTCCCATTCCCATATTCCAGCATAATTTGGTCCAGTCCAGTCCATCAGAACCCATAGTGTTTCATTCTTGCTTGTGCTGCAAACCTTAAACTGATGGGACTTCATTTTTAGGAGGACATGAACTGCCAAAAGCCATAGCTGACATAGCCAAATGTGTGGAATGTGGAAGTTGCAGCCCACCAATGACTGCAGGACTGCACAGTTTGTCCTGCTGGTTTGCGATCACTGTGTTAAATACACATTTTCTTCTAATCTAGCAGAAACAAGTAGAGAACCTGGAAGAAGATGAGGAGGCTGGTTCTGGGAAAAGGCATGAATAGAGGGGTTGGAGTACTTCCAAAGACTAGGTTGAGAACAGCTAAATCCCATTGTGATTGGATCACTAAGATGCCTATCTAGGGACCTCCCATGGCTCAATGCTGTAGAATAATGGGAGCTGTAGATTGGTGAGACATCAATGCTATTTGCAGAGAAGGCTAAAGACCTTGTAGCAGAATCTAAAAGATGCACCAATCCCTCAACCCTCTCTGCCATGTGCCACTTCAGGCCTTTTTCAGTGCCTGGGTGGGGAAATGGCAGTGCCAGCATGGACGGATGGCTCTCTGCAGAATGACCCCTAACGTATCCATGGATCATACTAAATTGGGAAGACAGCGGACAAATGTCAGCGTGCTGGAAGAAGCAAAGATCGCCAGCATTGAAGCATCAACTCCACTGGACCGGCCACGTTGTCTGAATGCTCAACCACCATCTCCCTAAACAGTTGCTCTACTCCGAACTCAAGAACGGAAAACGGAATGTTGGAGGACAGGAAAATAAGATTTAAAGATGGGCTCAAAGCCAAACTTAAAAACTCTGGCATAGACACTGAGAACCGGGAAGCCCTGGCCCTTGAGCGCTCCAACTGGAGGTCAGCTGTGACTAGCAGTGCTGTAGAATTTGAAGAGGCATGAATGGAGGGCGAAAGAGAGAAATGTGCCAAGAGGAAGGCGTGTCAAGCCAATCCTGACTGGGACCACTTTCCACCTGGAAACTGATGGCCTCACTGCGGGAGAACATGTAGGTCAAGAATAGGGCTCCACAGTCACCTGTATACCCACCGCCAGTACACCAACCTTGGGGGACAATCTTACTCAGACAATGAGGGCTCGTCTAAGTAAGTAAATAACTAAGTAAGGCAAGGGTAAGCCTTCTTGCCAATCCTGCCCTTAATTTTGGCCCTAAAACCTGCCTTTGACTTTTACATGAACTTGACTTATACATGAGTCTATATGGTACCACTCAGTACTGTTTGCATCTCATTTCATTTTGTTGGGCAGATAGCATATACAGCGTAATATTTTGGGGGATCCTTGTAGCATATTCCTTGAGCAAGTTACGGAGACTTTTTTGAGGCAGGCGAGGAAAATCTAGTACCAACTGGTGACACATTTCACACTTAGTTTTTCTCTCCCCCCGCTAACAATACACTACAATAGAGCATTCATACTTTTTGTCTGGCAATTTTACCTGAGGGACAATGAGTAACTAATTAAGTGCATGAGAGTTTCATGCCATCAGACTAGCTCCTGAATGCAATTACAGTCTCTCTGTGAACAAATAGAAAGAGGCAAGTTGAATTCCCCCAGTTTTTTGGATTGTTCTTTGATATATAGTTGCTACAAAAAAAGAGAATAAGTTTTGTAGTCTGATCAAACCCACATGCCTTCCAACTATCTCAGTTTGGCAGGAGCAGCCCTGATTCTGTTGTCTCACTTTGCGGAGTATGCACTGAATTAATTCAAAATGGAGAAGAGAAGGGGCAAAATCTTGCCCTTTACTATATGCTCTGACAAAAGCAAATTGTTGCAGCCTCTTTTAGCTTATGCGCTCTTCCTTATTAATTTTTTGTAGTTTTTAAAATTTACGTACAATTTACGTACAATTTTACAAACACATAACCCCACCACCAAGGCCTGAACAAGTATCCTTCCCTTTGCCGTATATTTATACATCAACCATTAATCAAATGTCATATCCAAGCATCCAGAGTAATATTTAGTTTTATAATATTACCTATTTTGATAAATATATCATTCTAAAAACTCTTCACTTTGGGGCATTACCACCATAAATAAAAGTATGTCCCTCTGTCCATGCCACATCTCCTCATTAATAACTTTACTCAGGATCTCTTCACATGGCCCAAAGACAAAAAGGAAAATGCATGGGGTGGTTCATGGCACCCCACACGCCTCCCCTCCTCACACACAGAGAGCAGGAAAGGGTGCATTGCCAAGGGATCTTTCGCTTGTTGCATGCAGACATGAAAGGTGTGTCGAATGGGAGTTTGGTTCACTGCATTTCAAAAGCCGATGTTAAAACTGCTTTTGATATTCAAGTAAAATGGCATCTTAAAGAACTTCACAATGTATGCAAGCCACTTGGAAGTATTAGGCACCTCTGTTATTTGAAAGGGTGGAATCAGTCACATTTTCCATTAACAGTCCTGTGTAAGCAGGAAGAGTCAATTTGATACACACCACACCTATCTCTGGAAAGGCGTCATAATGTGCAACCAACTAGACTTTAGGGCTGGGATCCTGTTAGTCTCTAAGCCTGGCATAAATTTGTTTGTGCAAATGATTATGCTTCTAGATTATTGCTTGAAGGAAGTGTCCCAACCAGTGTTCTGCGTGTGCTATTAAGATTTGTCTTCAGGCAGTGACATGCTCCCATCCATTTTTTTTTCATTATGTGCCTTTATTTTATTTTATTTTTTACTTATGGCTCGTTGATTGTGTAGAATCTTAGAATCACTTGGAGACTCATGGAGACTGCTGCACAAGGTTTAATATCTGTACTGACATTAAATGTATGTCCATTGGAACTACGCTTGGACTTTTTGCATTTATGAAAAAGTCAGAATCAGAAGAGTCAAGATACCAGCATCCCATACAAGACCTGCTATTGATATTTTGCTGTTAGAGTCAGGGGAAAAAAAATAACACATAAACACAGACTGAAGTCAAGGAGGCCACTCTAGTTATTTTTTTCTAGCTAGAAAATCAACTAATATGTTACTTGTATTGTCGAAGGCTTTCATGGCTGGAATCACTCAGTTCTTGTGGTTTTTTTCGGGCTATATGGCCATGTTCTAGAGGCATTTCTCCTGACATTTCACCTGCATCTATGGCAAGCATCCTCAGAGGTGAGGTCAGGTGAGGATGCTTGCCATAGATGCAGGCGAAACGTCAGGAGAAATGCCTCTAGAACATGGCCATATAGCCCGAAAAAACCCACAAGAACTGAGTAATATGTTACTGTTCTTAGATAACATGCAAAGTTAATTTCTCAGTTGACCTCCTGGCTCTACCTAGTTCATAATTTTGAATTACAAGGTATATAAACAATTAATAAACTAGGTCGATTAGTCACCTGCTAACCTTGCCTTAATAAACATTAGACTTGCCAAATTGGTTGGAGCCTCAATTTTGTTGGAGCCCCCAGTGGTGCAATGGGTTAAACTTGTGTGCCGGCAGGACTGCTGGCCGACAGGTCAGTGGTTCGAATCCGATGAGAGGAGGTTGAGCTCCCTCTGGCAGCTCCAGCTCCCCATGCGGGAACATGAGAGAAGCCTCCCACAGGATGGTAAAACATCAAACATCTAGGCGTCCCCTGGGCAACATCGCCTGAGGACTGAGAAGGGCAGAATACAAATACAGCAAATAAATAAATAAATAAACGTCCTTGCAGGTGGCCAATTCTCTCACACCAGAAGCAACTTGCAGTTTCTCAAGTTGCTCCTGACCCAACCCCCCCCTCCCCACAAGTTTGTTTTCATTGAACTATTAGCACTATGTATGATTGAATATCTTTACTAGTTTGAAGCTAGATTGTAAAGAATTTACTTTAGAAAAAAAATGCTGACTTTAAAGGTTGTAAAGAATTTATTTTAGAAAAAAATCTTGTTTATTTTTACAGGTAAGGAAGATAGCAGCAGAATATTACGATACCTTACCACAGCACCAGTCCTGGGTTCGAGTTCTTTGGGACTTCATTTTCGACAATACCATTGGCCCTTATTCAAGAGTGAAGCGAATATGCAAGCTAGCATCAGAATCTCAATAGATACCAGCTCCAGCTCCACCCTTACTTGTTATAAGCTTAATAGACCTTTGACTTTCTGCATACCTTCCTTATCCAACAAGTATGTTCTGTGATAGATGCTTGCAAGGCAAAGAAGGCTGATGTTATTCTTCAGAGGATTCGCTGTAAACCAGTTATGAAGAAATATGTCAATGAAGCCTGTCAGAAGTATTTTCAAATTGTGTTGTATTTTGTTTTCTTTATTAAGCTGTAGATCAGAGGTCATGAATGGTTAAAAAAACCCATACCGCCCTATTTTTTAAAAAGTGTAGCTCCCATTACGTGTGGCTACTGTCTTTGCTGGTTCTGGCAAATCCAACAAAACCTGAAGATCATAGCTTCTTTGTAGAAAACAGATCTCAGAGGGGCAAGGTATGTTGGATCAAGGTAGGTCTTCTTAGGGCTGTCCAGACAGTGTCTTTATCCTAGGAGCTTTTGCAGCAAACAGGAGAGTGGCCAGACATCGTTCCCTGTAAGCGTGGAAGCAATCGCTACAAAATGCAAAAAACATGAGATTTCCAAGTGTGGGAATATTTCAGTTTTGAGCTGAATATGCCGATCTTTGCATGTCTGTGTTCTCTGCAATAGGAAATCCCGGGATATTTTTTCATCTGGGTTTGTTCCTGCATTTTGGATGTTTGTTCCTGATTAGTTGTATCTTAAAAAGAAGGTGACATTTGAGTAGAAGGCAAAAACTTTGTTTGTGTTCCAGAAAGTTCATGAAATGTTTGAAGGGCACTGTCTCACTGGCCAGGACTTTTGCAGTGATTTGCGTATTTGAATCTCCACATTAAAAAAACTGCTGAAGTTTCTGGTGGAAGTTCCACAGTGGTCATCTTGGGAGCCTCTAAAGTGTGCAATAAAACATCAAGTTTGGACAACGGAGGCAGAAATCCCAGGACCAACAGGTCTGTATGTGGACCTCCTCTGAAGTCCCACTTAAAACCCGTGATTTAGTATTGTCTGGAAGTGCCCTTAGAGATCTGGAAATAGACAGGGAAAAGTGACTAGAATGATTTAGGGCAGAGGCAGGAAATCTTAGGCCCAGGGGCAAATCTGGCTTTCTTAAACCCCAAGGTGGCTTTCTAGAGTGCCCTAGGCTGCTTATACCTACAGAAAAATGCCTTCCCTAAACTAAAACGTGCTGGAATTTTTGGTTTGAACCTGTTGTCTCTGGATCTGCTGCAATGTGGACCAAGGAAGCTTTTGTGAAATTAATTTCACGCTCTCAATGAAAGGTTCCGTTCCATTGACAAAAGGATATATTCCCTTGTGTCAATACTGGCTGCATATAACACTGTGAAGCTTCTTCTCACAACTGTTGTATAAGAAACAGATAGCTTTTATTATTATATTTGGTAGAAAAGATTAGCAAGAGGAAATGTGATATGAATTATGACTGATAGTTGATTTAAGGTACTTGGATATCTACCGTTTGTCAAATAAAAATCGATAATCCAATGATAATTGCTACCAATATGTTTCAAGCTCACAAGTGGGATACTTTGCATAAACTGAAATCCTACTTGGATCATTTTGACCAGAAATGAGCCATTTACTCAACAGTGATTACCTATATATTGATTGATTCATTGATGGCTGATTCAATGGACATTCTCTGTAACAGCCAATGGATACAACAAAGCCTTCAAGTGTCAGCTTTAAGATGCTTCTGAAAGATTTAGCAACGTATATCAGTTGGAAAGGTTAAATGGGAACACGTCATAGCCAGTGCAACAGCATGTCTATATATGCAACACCTTGAATCTGAAACCTAATGGATGTACCCTGATATGAATACAATAACATATCTCTGTTTATGGTTACAGATATGTCATGTAACATAACAGGAGAAACAAGAATCCTGAGGCACTTTAAACACAAATTAGTTTTAGTTATCAGAGTTTATGTATTCAAGCCTACTTTAGAAAATGCATCTGATACATGAGTCTGCGGAACTTCATCTAAAATAAAACTCATTAATTTTCCTGATGCTTAGCAGTTCTTTTCGTTGGCTTATGGAGAAACATTAAGCCTGACTTACTTAGAAGGAAACCTCATTGAGCTTAAGGGTGTACACTCCCAAGTTAAGACTGCATGCAATAGATGCCTAAACATTGGAGCCAAGATCCTACATCATGTTTTTATGTATTGTCAAAAGCTTTCATGGCCAAAGTCACTGGATTGTTGTGAGTTTTCCGGGCTGTATGGCCATGTTCCAGAAGCATTCTTTCCTGATGTTTTGTTAGAGCTCACAACCTCTGAGGATGTCTGCCATAGATGCAGGTGAAACATCAGGAGAAAATACTTCTGGAACATGACCATATAGCCCGGAAAACTCACAACAATCCATCATGTTTTTAGCTATGCAAACATAGTTACTAATAAACTACACGTGATTGAAGTCTGTGGCACAGTTGAATGGGGCACTTCAGGATAAGGCAGCCAGTCTCTCCAACCACTGAACTGCAGTGTTATGAGTCTTCTTTGACAGAGAAAAAGCAGGGTATAAAGACTAATAATAATAACAACAATAATAAAGGGGAAGCTGCCACTCCTAGGCTTGAATGCAAGACAATAGTCAATATATCATCCTGAAAAATCCAGTGCATTGCTCCAAACTCTCTAGAGTTTCAGGTGAATTGGAGGCACTTATGATCAAGGCAGTGGTATCTCAATCATGAATATTATTGTTAATCCCTACTGAATCAGTGGAATTTGTCTCCATGTTGACTCGCCATCCAACCATTTTTTGCAGCATTTCTCAACCTGGGGATCGGGACCCCTGGGGCGGGGGTCGTGAGGGGGTTTCAGAGGGCTCACCAAAGACCATCAGAAAACATGCGTTTCTGATGGTCTTGGGAACCCCTTTAGCCGAGAAGGCTAAAGGTCTCTCCACCTGTTCTCTTCCTTATTGAAACAAATGGCAAATATTCCCACCAAAAGCCCTCTGCCCCTGTGATTGGCTGGCCTCTCAGGCAAAGGAAGGGCTCCCAGCGGGAAGGCGAGAGTGCCTGACAACGTGGTGCACAAGTACAGACAAGGGAGAGCGCGCAACGCTGGAGGGAGGTTTGGGCCAGCAAGTCCCTTCAAGACTTTCTGTGTGTTCTGTGTGAGAAGGTTCAGAATGCTCTTTGATTGTAGGTGAACTATAAATCCCAGCAACTACAACTGGGATTTATAGTTCCCCAAACTCCACCAGTGTTCACATTTGAGTATATTGAGTATTTGTGCCAAGTTTGGTCCAGATCTATCATTGTCTGAGTCACAGTGCTCTCTGCACGTAAGTGAACTACAATTCCAAAACTCAAGGTCAATGTCCACCAAACCCTTCCAGTATTTTCTGTTGGTCATGGGAGTTCTGTGTGCCAAGTTTGGTTCAATTCCATTGTTGGTGGAGTTCAGAATGCTCTTTGATTGAAGGTTAACTACAACTCCCAAATTACAAAATCAACCCCCACCCCACCAGTATTCAAATTTGGGTGAATCCGGTATTTGTGCCAAATTTGGTCCAGTGAATGAAAATACATCCTGAATATCAGACATTTACATTACGATTCATAACAGTCGCAAAATTACAGCTATGATGTAGCAACTAAAATAATTTTATGGTTGGGGGTCACCACAAAATGAGGAACTGTATTAAGGGGTTGCAGCATTAGGAAGATTGAGAACCACTGATTTATTGAATGTGCCTATTTTATTTGGGAATAACTAAGAGGAAGACAACCATTGTCAGAGATGTAGAGTGTGAAATCTTCTTTTTTAACAATTCTTTGTTTTTGCAAGCATAACCTGGGGACCGACATTATTTAGTTTCGTGTGTAATATTTGCCAATTAGCAATCTCAGGAATATAAATTATAAATAGAAGGTTCCACAGTGGAGTCCAAGTCTACTGCAGAAAGATGAAAGAAAAGCCAATCCATGCACGTTGTGGACAATGAACAGTTTATTACCAATATGAACACAGATACTGTGATGCACTGATGTACCGCTTTAATATTGTGATAGCTCTGAGACCAGTGACTTGCTGGTTGACAGCTGGTGTCTTTCGGCTTCCACTGGTAATGCCACAAATAAGATTCTGTTGGCAAAAGGTCTTCATTTACAATGCAGACTACCAGTAAAATTACTTTGAAGTCATCTAGTAAAAGCGAATGGTTCACGTGTTTCTTTACCTACTATATACTAAAAAGAAAAATGTCATACATTTAAATAAGCAAATACAAAATACAAAAAAGGCTGACCAAATCTGATGTGCATTGTCAGATGAAATTTAAAAAATCCAGAATATTTAAATTTTAATATTTTTCTTTTTTACGATTTTAAGACTTTTTTCTTTTCTTTCATTTTTTTTTAAATGAAGCAAATCCAAGGCAGCAGCAAGCTTCAAAGTCTGCTGAGTCTGCTAATAAAAAGGATTTTAGAACAAAAGACAGGGCCAGGTGTCCTCTTTCACCATCTTGCATGATCTTGGTACACCTAGAAATGATCCAATTGTCTCTTGTCCTTTTCAACTTCCGGATGATTCCATGGTCATTATGTTGTGCTGATTCTACTCAACTCCTGCCTGATAGCTAGGGAGAGAGAGAAAAAAGAAAAATGTTTGTGCTTAAGGCTAAATTATTTTATTTGTTTATTTATTTATTTGAAACATTTCTATTCTGCCCTTCTCACCCCGAAGGGGACTCAGGGCGGAGCACAACATATATACGGCCCATTCCAGGACATAAAATAACTATAAATATACATAAACATTAAAATCAGTCATATCTACTTTAAAATCAGTTGTTTAAATTCATTTCAAAACACCATGCGGAGTAGGTTCCCTATTATTGCATCATTGCACTGCCCCAAAGGCTTGGTCCCACAGCCAGGAGGGGGTGGGCTGATCTAATCTTGCCAGGAAGGGAGTTCCATAGCCAGGGGCAATCACTGAGAAGGCCCTGTCTCTCCTCCCTGCCAAATGCGCCTGTGACTGTGGTGAGACTGAGAGCAGGGACTCCCCAGAAG